ATCTCTAGGAACATTATTACATTTAAAACTCGAAATTCTACAAAATGGTTGGTTTCTTTCAAATATTAAGTTCTGTGATATTTTAATCCAAAAATTCAACTCTAGACTGAAGCTTGCCTTTCCTTACTTGAAATTAACATTTTAAAATTTGGAGGGGGAAAAGAAACTATTAGTAAAATCTACAGCATTCCCAGGTCCAGAATTTCCTAGACTGCTTCAACTTTAATCCATCTGGGGAATTTTGGGGACATCTGTCATTTATATAAGGAAGTTAATGATCAAATCTTTGAGAAGTTAAATATGGAATTTCTTTTCAAAAGCAATAGTTTATCACTTTATTCTTTTCAGAATCAATTATGTAATTAAGAATAGAATCTACAATAGAATCTATGTAGTCATTAAAAAAATCACTTAGTCAACATACACTTCTTCACATGAGAAATACATTTAATTATTTAGTAAAAAAAAAGTCTACAAAACAGATGGCACTTTTGTTTTAACATACATATGCATAGAAAAGTGTATAAAAATATTCACAGAAGTTATTTTTCAGGATGTACCAGAACAGAAAGTGATTACTTTTGTTCTTTTCTTTGCATTTGTGTCTGGGTATATTTTCTGCATTAAGCATATAAAATTATAGCATGTATAATTATAAAAAAGTAATCATATTAAAAAATACTACCTTTTCCAAGTCTTCAAAAGACTCTTTAACCCCACTGCTATGACTTATGGCAGAGGTGCCAAAGGACAATGCTATATCACTAAACCTATGGTTTGTGAAATTCCTGACAGATGTTCTCCCAAAATGTTTTATTTTTATCCAGGTATCTGAAACCACATCAAATATTTCTTAAGGGTATTTTAACTAGTACATTAAGGAAGAATTTAAGAAAAAAAATCTTATTATCTGAGAAGTCCCAAACAGAATCTCTCTGTTTACAAATGCTCTGAAAATCCAAGTACTTTTTGATACTCAGAGATTAACCGGCATAATGAGATTCTGATCTGATAATCCTATGTATGAAATCAACTTCAGAAAGCTAAGTGTTTTTCATGCTTAAAAATGATTTCTCATGACTTTCTATTCCATTCTGCCTTACACTTTTAACTTACTCTGAAGATGTATTTTAATTTTATTCTAAATATTTTTCAAAAGCCTTATTTGAGGATAAGTAGGGAGGTTAAGGTTAAGCTAAGTTAGCTCAGTTTAAATAATACTCTGTGTTACTCATTCTGTAAATTATTGGCATGGACGTCCAAGCCAATAAAATTTAGTAAACAACACATACAACAACAATCACACTAACTTTTCTTATTACTTCCCAGCTAATTCCAAATTCATGAATGAACAATGATCTAGTAGATTAATTCAATTTAAATACTTACTGAAAACTATTTTGGTGTCCTTGGATATTAAAACACAACAATAAAAGAAAGTCCCTGCTCAGAAAGTTTATAATTAGGTAATTCTACCATTTATAATTTATGAAGTTTGCTGTTTGATTGGTCACTTTTTGCATAAACTCAAAATCAGAGAGAAGAGTACCTATTGTACCGGGGGGCAGGGGTGTGGGGGGCTGCGTCAGCTACCTCCAGTTATCTCAGAGGAATACCATGAGTCTTTCAAGAGAGAAAATGGAAAGAACAGAAAGGAACAGTAACATAGATTCCCTAGTTACCGAAAGGACTAAGGGTGCATGACTAACATCTTAAAAAGCTGAGACTTGAGTTGGGCAACTGTGAGACCACTTTTCACGGAAAACTCAAATCTATTCTTGAAGTCCTGATTAGCAGAAATGAGAATATTTGCTTAAAATATAAAATGTCTTAATACATTTAACTTTGAAAGCTAACCTATACAACTCTTTCCTGACATACAACTTAGATCAGGAAAACTGGAACAGTTATATCAGAATTAGTTAAGAGTTCTTATTTCAATGAAACATCACAGATATTCAACATGTAAAGTACAGACAGGATCAACAAGACTTAGAGCTAACTTAAACACACAAAATCCCTACAAAGTTTATTAACCTCCATGCAATAAGATTTAGAGCTATACTATACACACATACACACCCCAATACAATGTCTATTAATTAACCTTAGTGTAACATATAACTTTAGGTCACCAAATGGGTGGTAAACTAATACTGATATATCATTTATCCTGGGTAGTATTGCTTAAAACTGTAAAAGGGACTGAGAAGCTTTATATCCCAAACTGTCCTGGGATGTTAACTCCATTATATCATCTTCAAAACATCTATAGAAAGTGATCTTGGAACTTCAGTAGGTGATGACTATGTATAAATGCAAGATGACAAGATAACATATAAATGAAAAGAGTGTTTTGTTTTAGAGATGGCCTACTACAACAAATTAATCATGGACAAACTTGCAACAAATAAGCCCTAAATAAAAATGAAGTCTTAAACCATCAATAACAAATTGACAGTTTCTACTAAAATTAAGTAAGCACAGACCAATATTAGTAGAAAACTGAATTACAAGGATTGACAAAAAGTGGTGAAATAAGTTCTGGACTTAAAGGTTTATAAGATATGAGACATAGGATTTATCACAGATATTCAGTTTAGCTTCCTAAGCAATTTCATTTGTGTCCTGTATGAATTCATTAAAATTAAGGACAAAGAATAAACCATCACACAGTTCTAAACTATAATCAGTAGAGAAATGACGCAGTTCTAATAAGCTAAACATATATGACAAATAGAATGTCAATACGCCAGGAGAATTGTAGTATGGTAAACTCAAGTACAACTGAAAGCCTGGGGATAGAAGAAATGCTGAATGGTTGTACTGACTAAGGGTCAGCAAACTATGGCCCAATCTCTGTTTATGTAGGAAGGGCCCAGGAACTAAGAATTGATTTTACAGATAAACATTTGCAATCAATTTGATGATACGAAACACTGACTTTGAACCCCAATTAAGAGAAATGTTATAGCCCCCTCAAAAGAAATCCATTCCTCTAATTAGTAGTCTTGAATTTCATCAATGAAAATGTGGAAATTCTGTTATATTGAGTTGGCCAAAAAGTTCGTTCGGTTTTAAGTACAAATAAAAGACACATTTTTCATTTTCACGAAGAACTTTACTGAACAACGTGTTCAGTAACTGAACAAACTTCTTGCCCAATCCAATATACCTCAGACATCCCTAACTTTCATTTTAGCCCACGAAGTCTAAAATGTTTTATCTAACCCTTTATAGAAAGTTTGCCAACTCCTGTATTAGAATACTAATTTGAATAATAATGAAGAATACATAGGCTTTTAGGAAACAAGGAAATCAAACTATCTGAACTTAGATCTGAGTGTAGTATGGGAATCAGGAAGGAAGTAGACCTGTTGAACTAAGTTTAAAGCTTCAATTTGAAACTAAAAGATGGTTACTACAAAACGACAGCAAAATACCAGTGATCTCAAGTGCAAATCATAAGAAATTATATAGATAGTAAAGAAGATTCTTGATCACACATGGGTGTTTTCAACCACACTTGTACACACTGATACCTAGCAAAATCATTTTATCAAAAGTAACATATTCTGGGATTCCCTGGTGGTGCAGTGGTTGAGAGTCCGCCTGCCCATTCAGGGGACACGGGTTCGTGCCCCAGTCCGGGAAGATCCCACATGCCGTGGAGCGGCTGCGCCCATGAGCCATAGCCGCTGAGCCTGCGCGTCCGGAGCCTGTGCTCCACCATGGGAGAGGCCACAACAGTGAGAGGCCCGCAAACCGCGGAAAAAAAAAAAAAAAAAAAGTAACATATTCTTATAAATGAAGTACAAGGATTTTAAAATAACTTCATCACCGTGCTGTGTATAACTAGAAAAAGCTACTGAGAACCAACAAGGGCCTACTGAATAGCACAGGGAACCCTGCTCAATGCTCTGTAATAACCTAAATGGGAAAAGATTTAGAAAAATAGATAACGTATATGTATAACTGAATCACGTTGCTGTGCACTTGAAACTAACACAACATTGTTAATCAACTATACTCCAATATAATATACAAAATTTTTTAAAATAAATAAATAAATAAATAAGCTGCTGAGGCTCAGCACAATAAAAACTAAATTCAAGCTGTCCAGATACAAAGCAGGCTGCATTCCAAAGTGGCGATTTGATGCTGGAAGTATTCAAGAAAACACTGAAAAATCATCTGTCAGGAATGTAACTAAGAAGGTTCTTTCATTGGATGGAGAATTGGACTACATAACCTCTAAGGAGATTTTCAATTTTCCACTTCTGTGAAACATTTGGAAAATCAAGAATAAAGCCTAATAGACAGTAGGTGTTGTTGGTTTGGATAAACTATACGGGGCAGGTGAGAACTTATTTAAGATCTCAAATATTAAAAACTTTAAAATGTCAGTGCTGCTGTTCTTAAGAGACAGTATGAACTCCAAAATAATAATACTTTGGATCTGATGTTGTTAATAAAGGTGTTGACAGACCTAATAAATAAAATTATAAGTAAATTTATAAGTAAAAATTTACTTAAATTATAAGTAAAAATTCTGCTTCTATCAAGTGGTCTAGTCATACATACTCACTTTTCCATTTTATAAATATTTAAATATTGACTAAATACAAGCATCTCCTATGTGCTCAGCAGAGTATTATGAGCAGAGAGCACATGGTGAGCAAAAATAGACATAGCTTGGGTTTTTATTCAGTTTATATACATTTTAGTGATCTATTGCTTTTAAGTACTTTAAATAACAGATATATCCCTTTCTTGCATCAGATAGCCAAAATAGCTTTTCTAATATCACATAACAAAAGAATAACTCAATTAGAAAGCAAAAGCTGGGTTTATACTTCTTGCACAGCTGAACTTGCTATGTGATCTTAGATCACGTTCTTCATTTCCTCAGTTTTTCATGAGTGTGTGAGAGATATGGATTCTTAGAAAACAGCAATAAGATTCCTTCCAGTTCAAAAATTCTGATCCAATCTTCTCACCTTGATTATTTCTACCAATTGATCCACACCACTGTCCCCTGGAAATATTGGTTGTCCTAGCAACAGCTCAGCCAACACACAGCCTGCAGACCATACATCTGAAGAAAGAAGAAAACAAAAGCTTATTAATACTCTCTGTAGCTTAAGTTGCATTAAATTGTACACATTTTCTAATTTTACTTTGGTCAGAGAAATATCACAAAGAAAAGACTGTATAATCCAAAACAGAGGGAAAGAAGTCATCAAACTATCCTTAATGCATTTAAAAATTGTGTTAAACTTACTAAACAGGAAACAGGACAATAAGAATATTCTAATAAAGGGTAATATCTATTTAATTATCAAATACCAGATGTTCAAGTCTTCAACAACCAAGATAAGGATTATAGAATGAAAACATAGCACTTGATTATTTACTTATTATACTTAAAAATAAGTCAAAGTGATACAATCTCTTCACATTGGCAGGTACTTATACAGAGTAGCAGAAAGCAAGGGTTTAATCTCCTATATACAGGGTTGTAAGCCAATGAAAATTTCTGAGAAAAAAATTTTAATACTTTAAATGGTTAAACTTTTGTCTTGTAATATGACTGACAGAAAAATGTGCTTAAATATACGAATATTTTAAAATGCAAAGAGAGAAGAATACATTTTATTTTACAAATTACAAAATATAATTCACTTTTAAGTCAAAGCAGAAACCTCAATCTTGAGAGAAAACTTTAAAAAATAATTTAATTAATAAATTTTAATAATTTATAAATAAATTTACTAAATAAAAAAATAAAGCGTACATCCTGGCTTACCCACAATAGTCCTGGTCTAGATGACTGTCCTGGAATAATTATGAAGAGCATCCCCTTTCTCTCTTAAAAGTATTACCAAATGAGAAGCTCTATTTAGAGCCCACTACCTAAGACTTCCTGCAAGAAAAAGCTAATTTTCAGTTTCTGGATTCCTGGGTTTTGTATGAATCACCAAACAAGTGTTTCAGGGAGATGAACATAAATCATTGCTGGGCTTTCCATCTACCAGTAGGGAAGGAGAAGAATAGTGAATGGCATGGGGACAACAAATAATTTAATCTGTCTGATGTGGTAAGATGCACTAACAAGAGGAATTGGAAACTAACACAACATTGTAAGTCAACTATATTCCAATATAAAATAAAAATTAAATTAAAAAAAAAAGAGGAATTGGAAATCCCTGCTCCAATGACTACATTTTACTGGCTTGGAAAAATAATGACAGAAAATTCATTTAAGAAATTCAAGTTGATTTTGTCCAGCTACTCTTTCACTTTTAATACCATTGTTAAAAATATTTCCAAAATATATTTGTATTAGAACACTTTTAAATATATTTATTTTTGTTTATTTATAAATCTTCCAGAGTCTTAAGAAGCAAGTATCCTAAATCTAAAAGGGAAAGCCAAATCTAGGCTTGTTAGGGTTCAAAAGGTCCCAGCTGAATCAGTGGCCTATGGTGAGTCCTACGCCTAGGACGTCAGAATCTGGTTTTAGTCATGCAAAGGAGGCTACTGGAAAGCAGGTACTCATAATATCCAGAAAATTGATTCCTAGTAGAGATAACAGATTACACTGTCCTTTTTTGTGAGTATTCCCAAAGAACTGCTAGGCACATGGACATTTATAGAAGTAATATACTCTTAAGAGGGTTAAGGTTTATGTTAAACATGCCTTAATATGTCACATAATATGATCATGACTTTTTTAAAAGAAGCAAACCAGGACTTCCCTGGAGGCACAGTGGTTAAGAAACTGCCTGTCAAAGCAGGGGACACGGGTTCGAACCCTGGGCCAGGAAGATCCCACATGCTGTGGAGCAACTAAGCCCGTGCGCCACAACTACTGAGACTGCGCTCTAGAGCTCGCAAGCCACAACTACTGAGCCCACGTGCCACAACTGCTGAAGCCCGCGCACCAAGTCCATGCTCCACAACAAGAGAAGCCACTGCAATGAGAAGCACGTGCACTGCAATGATGAGTAGCCCCCACTCGCTCCAGCTAAAGAAAACCCGCATGCAGCAATGAAGACCTAATGCAGCCAAAAATAAAATAAATTAATTAAAAATAAATAAATAAAAGAGGCAAACCGCATTTATTTGTTTGTTTGTTTGTTTGGTATTTGTATGCTTTTGGACCAAGGAATTCTCTTCAGAAGCAATATATAACAATAAAATAAAGTTGACCTCCACCTGCATGCCACCCTAAGGTTGCTCCTTTCTTAGCTTCCTATTCATGTCCAACTGATCATACTCTGTATGTGCACTACTACTAGTGGGCTAAAATGAGGTAGACGAGGAGGTCAATGAAGAATGAAGCAAACTGTCTCTATTCAATTCCTTCTATCATTAAAGACCTTTGGTGACAAATTCTACAGAATTGGTGGGTTTATCCAAACTACTAATGAAAAAATCAGATTGTTCCTTCTGAGCGGATTTAAATAACCAACTGAGACAACACAGCAGGAGTATCAGTAATATGGTCATCCTACCACTTTAATCATAACCTTAATTGATGCAAATTCTCCAACTGGCGATCAAGCTCAGAAGGGAATATTTCAGGTGATTTTTTTTTTAAGTTAGAAAAGGTATACTTAGAATTTATTTACAATTTTAAGTTAAAAATAACTGTAATCCTAAAGAAATCACACAATCACAAAGGAGTAGCTTATAATACAAGAAACGTAAAAGTAGAATAGTAAATATAACTTAAATTCTATACATTTTTGCATATCAATCTTCAAGAAGAAATATATTTCAAGGCATATTTATATTTAAGAACAGATTAGTAATACTAAATTACTAAAAACATGATGCAATAAATAATTACAAGCCATTATATTCGGGTCCATTACTTACCTATACTAGAGGTATAATCAGTGGCTCCAAAGATCAACTCTGGTGCCCTATAGTACCGAGAACAGATATACGAAACATTGGGCTCTCCTCGGACCAGCTGCTTTGCACTAATAAACAAATCAAAAGCAGAAATTCTTTAAATTAAATCTAAACCGTATCATTGCTATCGTAAACTGCTATCATTTGCAACACAATGTTTATCTAAGATTCTCATAATTCCAATCATGCAATATATAAGAAAAAGAAAATATGAACCATAACTATGTCTGACAAAACAAACTTATAATTTTAACATATCACTCTGAAAAAAGAACAGTAACTTTTAAAGAATGCATCTGTTAACTGTCACCTGAGGAAAAAGATTTTTTAAAAAAATCACAAAATGATAAATGTTGAATTTCTTCTGCTCTTGTTCCCTGAATTCCACCTTTAAAATACAAAGAAGAAACGGCAGAAAAATGAGCGGTACTTCCACTCACCAAAAAGCACAGTAATAGATTATAATATAAGAATGAATACTGCTTACCAAATATGTTTTTTAAAAAGGTAAGAAATTGGCCACTCTCTTAAAATTTGACTTCTGACTCAGAGTGAGTATCCCAAAGCTTGCAGATCCAATCTACTTTATGTTTTTCCAACATTTGGTCAATTTATTAACTGTCTAAGCATTCGTTATCCAATAAAAAAAGACAGGCCCTTTCCTGTAGGGCAGAGATAATTCACAGTCCATGAATTCTAATTCCGCTGTCGTAAGTTAAATCACACATTCTCTTAATCCAACTTTCCTTCCCAAATACTTTGTGGCATGTATTTTAAATATGAAAATTAGTTTCTTTCGAAGTACCTCTCAAGGTAACTTGAAGACACACTAAAATAAATAAACTGCTATAGAAGCTAACCATTTTGACATACAATAATAGGAAAGATAAATACAGGGAATAAATACAAACAACAAAATCAAAACAGTAAAAAAGTAACAAGAAAAGGTAAAAGAAAATTTTTAGGTAAAGGTACGGGAAAATCAGAGTAGAGATAGATGAAAGAAGTCACAAAGGTTTCAGTTTGGGCTTTCTTTTCTTCCATTTATTTCTGGTCAATGATAAGTCTGACCATAACCTGGTCTTCCTTCATCACAGGTTTTGAAGGTGTGAGGCAGTTTATTTTTTAACATTCTCACCAAGGTTTGACATACAGCAGCCATTTCATAAATTAATAAACACTAATCCCTGCTTTTAGGCTGCATGAAAATTAAGACACTTTTTCAGCAAAACTGATAAAACCTTTCTACCTTATAAAAAATTTTCTAAATTAACAAGACGGATTCCAATTATTTAGTCAGAAAATTCAGTGATAAAGAAGGTAATATTATAAATGCCACTTGATGGAGCTACCTTCAAAGTGTATCCCAAACTGTACTTGCTCAAACTAGCTGTTAAAAACAAAAAAGGCAGCTTTGTTATCAGAGCTATTAAAAGTGAACTAGGCAGAGTCAAGATGGTGCTGTAGGAAGACACAGAGTTAGCTTCTCCCCACAACTAGTGTGCCTGTCGGCCGCTGGTGGGGGACGCTAATGCCCAAGGAGATAGTAGGAACCCCAAAGTGAACCGGTAGGAAGTAGGGGGACTGAGGGGGAGGAGAAGTGGAGGTCAGACAGGATCTGTGCCCCTGAGGTCAGGGAGATCAGGAGGGGCACGAGGGAGGGACTCTCTGGGAAGAGAAGGAGCAGAGGGTGATCCCCTGGCTCACTTGGGCTGGGGAGCCTGCTGAGCTCTCAAGCCAGTACCCGGCCTCCACAGCCCCATCCAGGCCATGTGGGTCCTGGGGCCATAAGAGGGAGGCCGGGGAGATGAGGAGTGGCAGGTGGGAGGAGCCATCCAAGGAGGGACAGGAGAGAAGCAGAGGGCGATTGCCCCACCCACTGGGGCCCTGGGCAGCCTGCTCCCAAACCGATCCCCTGCCCTCCAAAGGCCCCTCCAGGTCTCGTGGGTCCTTGGGGGCATAGGAAGGAGGCCTAGGGGAGAACAGGAGAGGCAGGCGGGAGGGGCCCTCTGGGAAGAGAGGAAGAGGAGCAGAGGGCAACTGCCCCACCCACTAGAGCCCAGGAAGATTGCTGGGCTTCCCTGTGAGGTCCCCCACCCTCTGAGACCAGGGCTGGGGAGCAAACCTGGGTCCCTTCTGTTCCTTGAGCCTAAGCCCCACTCCCCACAGCCCCCAGGGCCTTTTCCAGCCCTGTCAGTCCTGAGCATTGGCCCTGCCCACCGCCCAAACCTCACCCTTGCTTAGGCCCCACCCTCCACAGCCAAGGCCTCCCCCCCCACCCCCCCCCCCTTTCTCTTCTTTTTTCTTTTCCCTCCTCCTCTTTTTTACTATTATGGTAATGATGTGTCTTCTGGCTGTTGATTCATCTATACTTTTATTTTTATATTCTTCCTAACATATTTGTTTATTTTTTACTTTGTTATTGTTTTTTTTTTTTTGCTGCCCCAGGCAACTTGCCGGACCTTGGTTCACAAACCCAGGGTTGGGCCAAAATTCCTGTGGTGGGAGCTCCGAGTCTGAACCACTGGACTAAAAGAGAACCTCAGACCTCAGGGAATGTTCACTGGAGTGAGACCTCACAGAGCTCCTCATCTCAGCACCAACACCCAGCTCTACGCAATAGCCTACAAACTCCAGTGTTGGAAGCCTCAGGTCAAACAACCAGTAAGTCAGAAACACAATCCCACTCATTAGGGGGGAAAAAAAAATGACATGGCAAAAAAATATGTCACAAATGAAGGAGCAAGGTAAAAACCTACAAGACCAAATAAATGAAGAGGAAATAGGCAATCTACCTGAAAAAGAATTCAGAGTAATGATAGTAAAGATGATCCAGAATCTCGGAAACAGAATGGTGGCATGGATTGAGAAAATACAAGAAATGTTTAACAAAGATCTAGAAGAACTAAAGAACAAACAGAGATGAACAACACAATACTGAACTGAAAAATACACTAGAAGGAATCGATAACAGAATAACTGAGGCAGAAAAATGAATAAGTGAGCTGGAAGACAAAATGGTGGAAATAATTGCTGAGGAGCAGAATAAAGAAAAAAGAATGAAAAGATTGAAGACAATCTCAAGACCTCTGGGACAACACTAAATGCACCAACATTAGAATTATGGGGGTCCCAGAAGAAGAGAAAAAGAAAGGGTCTGAGAAAATATTTGAAGAGATTATAGTTGAAAACTTCCCTAACATGGGAAAGTAAACAGTCACCCAAGTCCAGAAAGTACAGAGAGTCCCATACAGGATAAACCCCAGGAAAAACACACCAAGACACATATTAATCAAACTAACATAAATTAAATTCAAAGAAAAAATATTAAAAGCAGCTAGGAAAAAACAAAAAATGACATACAAAGGAATCCCCATAACGTTATCAGCTGATTTTTCAGCAGAAACTCTGCAGGCCAGAGGGGAGTGGCAGGATTCGATGGAAAAGTCAAAAGCTTTTCAGACAAGCAAAAGCTAAGAGAATTCAGCACCACCAAACCAGCTTTACAACAAATGCTAAAGAAACTTCTCTAAGTGGAGACACAAGAGAAGAAAAAGACCCACAAAAACAAACCCAAGGGATTCCCTGGTGGCGCAGTGGTTGAGAGTCCACCTGCCAATGCAGGGGACACGGGTTCGTGTTCGTGCCCCGGTCCAAAAAGATCCAACATGCCGCAGAGTGGCTGGGCCTGTGAGCCATGGCCACTAAGCCTGTGTGTCTGGAGCCTGTGCTCCGCAACGGGAGAGGCCACAACAGTGAGAGGCCCATGTACCGCAAAAAAAAAACAAAAAAACACAAAACAATTAAGAAGATTGTAATAGGAACATATATATCGATAATAACTTTGACTATAAATGGATTAAATGCCCCAACCAAAAGACAAAGACTGGCTGAATGGATACAAAAACAAGACCCATATATATGCTGTCTACAAGACACCCACTTCAGACCTAGGGGCACATACAGACTGAAAGTGAGGGGATGGAAAAAGATATTCCATGCAAATGGAAATCAAAAGAAAGCTGGAGTAACAATACTCATATCAGATAAAAGAGACTTTAAAGTAAAGACTGTTTCAAGAGATAAGGAGGGACACTACATAATGATCAAAGGATCAATCCAAGAAGAAGATATAACAGTTATAAATGTTTATGCACCCAACATAGAAGCACCTCAATACATAAGGCAAATGCTAACAACCATGAAAGGACAAATCGACAGTAACACAATCATAGTAGGGGACTTTAACACCCCATTTACACCCATGGACAGATCATCCAAACAGAAAATAAATAAGGAAACACAAGCTTTAAATGACACAATAAACCAGATAGATCTAACTGATATTTATAGAACATTCCTCCCAAAAGTGGCAGAATACACTTTCTTCTCAACTTCACATGCAACATTCTCCAGGAGAGATCAAGTCTTGGGTCACAAATCAAGCCTCGGAAGATTTAAGAAAATTGAAATAGTATCAAGCATCTTTTCTGACCACAACACTATGAGACTAGAAATCAATTACAGGAAAAAAAACTGTAAAAAACACAAATACATGGAGGCTAAACAATGTGCTACTAAATAACCACTGAAGAAATCAAAGAAGAAATTAAAAAATACATAGAAACAAATGACAATGAAAACATGATGACCCAAAACCTATGGGATGCAGCAAAAGCAGTTCTAAGAAGGAAGTTTACAGCAATTCAACCTCACCTCAAGAAACAAGAATAATCTCAAATAAACAATCTAACCCTACACTTAAAACAACTAGAGGAAGAAGACCAAAGAAAACCCAAAGTCAGTAGAAGGAAAGAAATCATAAAGATCAGAGCAGAAATAAATGAAATAGAAATGAAGAAATCTATAGTAAAGATCAATAAAACTAAAAGCTGGTTCTTTGAGAAGATAAACAAAATTGATAAACCCTTAGCTAGACTCATCAAGAAAAAAAGGGAGAGAATGCAAATAAATAAAATTAGAAATGAAAAAGGAGAAACCACAACTGACACTGCAGAAATACAAAGGACTATAAGAGACTACTACAAACAACTATATGCCAATAAAATGGACAACCTGGAAGAAACTGACAAGTTCTTGGAAAGGTACAATTTTCCAAGACTGAACCAGAAAGAGGGAGAAAATATAAACAGACCTATCACAAGTAATGAAATTGAAACCGTAATTAAAAATCTTCCAACAAACGAAAGTTCAGGACCAGATGGCTTCAAAGGCGAATTCTATGAAACATTTAAAGAACTAACACCTATCCTTCTCAAACTCTTCCAAAAAATTGCAGAGGGAGAAACACTCCCAAAGTCCTTCTACGAAGCCACCATCAGACTGTCACCAAAACCAGAAAAAGATATCACAAAAAAAGAAAATTATAGACCAATATCACTGATGAACACAGATGCAAAAATCCTGAACAAAATATTAGCATACAGAATCCAAAAGCACATTAAAAGGATCATACACCATGATCAAGTGGGATTTATCCCAGGGATGCAAGGATTCTTCAATATACACAAATCAATCAATGTGATGCACCACATTAACAAATTAAGGAATAAAAACCATATGATCATCTCAATAGATACAGAAAAAGCTTCTGACAAAATTCAACACACATTTATGATAAAAGCTCTCCAGAAAATGGGTATAGAGGGAAACTTCCTCAACATAATAAAGGCTATATATGACAAATCCACAGCAAGCATCATACTCAATGGTGAAAAACTGAAAGCATTTTCACTAAGATCAGGAACAAGACAAGGATGCACACTCTCGCCACTCTTATTCAACATAGTTTTGCAAGTCCTAGCCACAGCAATCAGAGAAGAAAAAGAAATAAAAGCAATACAAATTGGAAAAGAATGTCACTGTTAGCAGATGACATACACTATACATAGAAAATCCTAAAGACGCCACCAGAAAACCAGTAGAACTAACCAGTGAATTTGGTAAAGTAGCAGGATACAAAATTAATGCACAGAAATCTCTGGCATTCCTATACACCAACAACGAAAAATCAGAAAGAGAAATTAAGGAAACACTCCCATTTACCACTGCAACAGAAAGAATAAAATACCTAGGAATAAACCTGCTTAAGGAGGCAAAAGACTTGTACTCAGAAAACTATAAAACACTGATGAAAGAAATCAAATATGACATAAACAGATGGAGAAATATACCACGTTCTTGGATTGGAAGAATCAATATTGTGAAAATGACTATACTACCCAAAGCAATCTATAGATTCAATGCAATCCCTATCAAACTACCAATGGCATTCTTCACAGAATTAGAAGAAAAAATTTTACAATTCATATGGAAACTCAAAAGATCCCGAATAGCCAAGGCAATCTTGACAAAGAAAAATGGAGTTGAAGGAATCAGATTCCCCGACTTCAAACTACACCACAAAGCTACAGTAATCAAGACAGTATAGTACTGGCACAAAAACAGAAATATAGATCAATGGTACAGGATAGAAAGCCCAGAGATAAACCCACGCACATATGGTCACCTTATCTTTGATAAAGGAGGCAAGAATATACAGTGGAGAAAAGACAGCCTCTTCAATAAGTGGTGCTGGGAAAACTGGACAGCTACATGTAAAAGAATGAAATTAGAACACTCCCTAACACCATACACAAAAATCAACTCAAAATGGATTAAAGACCTAAAGGTAAGACCAGACACTATACAAGTCTTAGAGAAAAACATAGGACCCCCCCCCTTAGACATAAACCACAGCAAGATCCTTTTTGACCCACCTCCTAGAATAACGGAAATAAAACCATAAATAAACAAATGGGACTTGCTCCTAGGAGCAATCAATATTATGAATTTATATCATTCCAAAAATAAGCTATGCATCTGTGTACATATGCCTATACTCTCTGTGTTTTTAGAATACAAAAGGGAACATAATATATAGATTCTTGACCTTGTTGTTTTGAATTTAATACTTCTTAGAGATCATTCGTTTTGCATTCACAGAGAGCCTCCCCTTTCTTTTTTTAACAGCTGCATGTATTACATTATATGTATGATGTACCATAATTTATCTGGTAATCTTCCTACTGCCAGACATTTATATACAATTCTATGATAAAAATCCTGGTATATACAATATTTTGTAAATGTGTGAGTATTTGTAAGGGAACAGTTCCTAGGAGTTAAACTGCTGGATGAAAGAGTAAAATTCTGACAGAAGTTATCGAAACTACCCTCACAAGAAACTGCACTAGTTTATAGTCCCTGAGTAAGGGTAACAAAAGGTAACGAAAAGAGTATACAGGGTGGGGTTGGAGAGGAGGGAAGGAAGGAGGAAGAAAAGAGAGTTAGCTTACCTTCCAAAGTCACAGAGTTTTAAGACAGCTGTATCAGGATCCAACAAGAGGTTCTGTGGTTTAATATCCCGATGGCAGATTCCAAAGGAATGGATATAGGCTAAACTTCGGAACAGCTGATACATATACAACTGGAATAAAGAGTAAAAATTAATTGAATACTTACTTTCTATCCCAAACAATTCAGAGCCCTTATGCAGGAAACAAAGTAACAGATTTCCAGAAAAGAATAGTGAAAAGCTGGGGACTGTTTGCACTCAGTCTTTCTTAAACAGGTTTTATGTCATTTCTCTATCCATTAGCTAATTATAGTTTAGTTAACCAATGTTATATTTGTACCATCTTTTAATAACTTAAAAAAGGAAAATTTACAATATGCTTTTATAATTTTTATTTTACTAACATCTCACCACAAACCTGTTTTTTTCCCCTAAACACAGATTTAAAAACTCAGAGGGGTATTCCAAATCATGTGACTAACAAGTAACAATGTTTAGACCAGAAGCCAAGTCCTCTTGGCTTCATCATCCTTTGTCAGGGCCAGAGGTTACTGATACAGAGGTCTGGGAAAAGTCACACGTGAACTGAGAAAATCTGTTATCAACGATCTATCAAGACATCAGTAAATCTATTAATAGCAACACCACTCTTCCTGTTAATATCCTTCAGAATTAAGTAGACTTCAAAATGCCATTTAAAAACAGATCCTAGATGACTACTGACATCAAGTTAAAAGAATATTTATTTCAATTTTATTACAAAACAACATACACTGAGAAACTGGGTCTGTGTGGAAGAAAGAACTGGACTCTTGACTGGCAAAGAGACAGTCTCTGTGAAGAAAGTGAGTATATCTTTTTTTTTTTTTTTTTTTTTTGTGGTACGTGGGCCTCTCACTGTTGTGGCCTCTTCCGTTGCGGAGCACAGCCTCCGGACGCGCAGGCTCAGCAGCCATGGCTCACAGGCCCAGCTGCTCCACGGCATGTGGGATCTTCCTGGACCGGGGCACGAACCCGTGTCCCCTGCATTGGCAGGCGGACTCTCAACCACTGCACCACCAGGGAAGCCCGGAAATGAGTATATCTTAAACCTTCTATTTGTTCTAAGGTCAGTGTTCTGGTTCACTTATAAATTTTTGACTCCTCACCTTCTGACCTCTACCCCAAAGTTATATACCATGAAAAGAACTTTTGAAATGATTCAAATCAAAGATACCAGTATCTTGGTGAAAAACAACAAAAAGAGAGTTAAAAGTCAGATAAAGCACTGACATAAGGTATCATCTACATATGAAGTGGTCTTGACTCCTACAAAAATATACTGAATCGCCAATTTACAGGAAATACTGAGGACAGAGGAACATATTAACACCACTATAGTAATCCCATCAGCAAAATCCATTTTATTACTATAAAGCTTAAAACTATAACTATTAAGTAAAAACTTCGATACTCAGAACATTCAGAATCAATGCCATTTTATTTTCTAGAGTATTTGTATAAAAGGTAAAATGCAAAAAATTACACTTAGAAAGCTGAACTTTTAAACTTAACTCCTAGTTAATTTTCACAATGTCATAGTTTAACAAATAATAATCTGTTTCTAATAATCTACCACAACTTCATTCATAATTATGTTGGATAAATTGCAAGCCATTCTAACATGAGTTGTATCAAATAAGAAAGATGACAATGACATCAGGTACCAAAAATTAAATAACACCTTAATAGAGTCTGTGCCTATTTAAAATTACAAAAAGTTTAAACTTCAGCTACGGACACACTGTATCTATAAATGGCAATGAAACATTGCATTTGGTAATATTTATAACCATATTTTTATAATTTTATAGGATATGTTTGCTCCTATTTCAGCCTGTGGCACAATAAGGGTTATAAGAAATTAAATTAAAAGGTGCTATAGGTAGCAAAATTAAAACCCATAATTGTCTGTGAAAAAGTTCATTTTTTAATACCCGCGTCATGAAAGCTTAAAAAGGGAAGATTTCACACTTTAAAACTGTACAAAAATTTAATGAAACTCTAGCAATACCTACTTTGCAGCTTTCCCCCCTCAGAATGAGATGTAATAATATAGTTAAAATACACCCAGCACTCTCCCTTGTTCATAATAACTAAAATGGGAAATTGCTCCATTTTTACATACCTTAACATAGATCACAGGGAGCGTCTGTTTGGCTCGACTATAGTGTCTGGCAACTCTGTATACTGTTTCCGGAACATAGTCCAGCACCAGATTAAGATAGACCTCATCTTTCTGAAAGAGTTTATTAAAGACAAACAAACCAAAAAAACAAGATTAGGAACTAGTCTTTAAATGTTCAAATTAGAGTAAATTCTCTATACATTCACTTATTCAGATTTTTAAAGAAAAGATTCATGTGTTCAATTTTAATTATACAAAATTAATTCAGAATATAACCATAACAGTAAAAACAAGTCTACCACATTTTTTTTACTAACAATTTCATGGCAAAAACACAGCCATTTCAAGACTGTTAAGATTCCTAGTCATATTTAAACTGTTATTTTTGTTATATGATTTTAGAGGATATTACCTGTCAAAAAACTTCGCATTTTCTAGTTTGAGAATCATTGCCCTTATATCCTATCAGGAAAGGTGTCATGGTAGTAAAATAAGTATTGAACTGGGAGCTAAGAAATGTGCATTTCTAGCCCTAGCTCTGCTAACTGATGTATGCAAGCCATTTAATCTCTCTAGGCTTCTGTTTCTTCAACTGTAGCATGAAAAGTTGGACTTCAAAATTTCTCCTTAAAAAAGATTCTATGGCTATTTGATTAGTTATATTAGTTAATTAGTCTATAATAAGTAAAATAACCACTTGTCTTCTACAATTAACTAAAAAAAAAAAAAGAATAACTTATAAGGCAGCGAGTTACCATACTCACAAGTTTACTGCGGGTCATATGTTTAAACATCCATTCACAGCAGCATAAAGACACCAATCCAAGATCAGTGGAAAGGAAGAAGGGAATTCCAACTAAGTACCAAGTAGGAAAGAAGAAGAGAGTGCTACCCTCACCCTGTTCATGTGAATAATATCAGATAAGCAAACTGAAGCAGAACACAAAGTTGAGAATCACTGTGTTCAAGTCTAGAACTGGCTACTGAGTAGGAAAATCTTCAGGTAAAACTTCACAATCTTCCCAGTTTGAAATCACTTACCTGCCAAACTAAAGTGAAGAATTTCAATTTTCAGCATTTATTGAGCATTTTCTATGTCAGTAGTCATTGCAGAGGAAGTAAGGAAGTAAGGGTGCAGGTAAAAGACATGTCATCTAAACTGAGTATGAAAGGGGCATTTCAGGCAGAGAGAAAACTGTATTCAAGATGTGAGGTCAGGCTTCCCTGATGGTGCAGTGGTTAAGAATCCGCCTGCCAATGCAGGGTACACGGGTTCAAGCCCTGGTCCAGGAAGATCCCACATGCTGCAGAGCAACTAAGCCCATGCGCCACAACTACTGAGGCTGCGCTCTAGAGCCCGTGAGCCACAACTACTGAGCCCACGTGCCACAACTACTGAAGCCCGTGTGCCTAGAGCCCGTGCTCCACAACGAGAGAAGTCATGACAATGAGAAGCCTGTGCACCGCAACGAAGAGTAGCCCCCACTCACCGCAACTAGAGAAAGCCCACGCGCAGCAATGAAGACACAACACAGCCAAAAATAAATTAAAAAAAAAAAAAAAGAGAGATGTGAGGTCAAAGAACAGAGCAGATCTCAGGAAACAGTTTAGTGAGGCAGCATGCCATTGACACTACTACCTTTTCACTTTCCCTCAGTCTTTCATGTTCTCCTCTCTTCCCTCCATATCCAGCTTAAATTCCATGGTCTAACATTACCCTCACTCTCTAACAAGGGAGTTAGTAAACAATAGCAAAGGCCTGTTTTAAAACTCTTCTCCCATTCTCACCCTCAGCTGATAACTCGCGTGTACCACTACATGTATCCATTTACCAGCATCTACCCCCAGATGCTTTTCCTTCACTACTCTAACTAGAGATAAGCTGACCAAGCTCCTTTCTAAGGCGAACTCTGCTGCATGTAAACAAACTACTCTGCTTTTCCTATTCACACTCATTGCTTCAGTAATTTTTCTTTCTCTGTCAATTATTCTCTCTCTGTGAGAGCATTACAATCAGCACATAAACTTGTTATTTCTTCCATCGTTAAAAAAAATCTCTAATCGCACTAATCACCACCATCCTATTTTCTGGCCCCTTTAACAGCAAAATTCTTCAAGAGATGTCTAAACTGACTTTCTCCAATACCTGGCTCTTCTCATTCTCTCTAAAACTTACTCCAGTAGAATTTCACCACCACTATTCCACAAGAATTATTCATCAAGATCAATAATCTCCTTGTTGCTGTATTCAATGCTAATTTTCAGGCATCATCTTTCCCTCTCTTTTACTTGACTTAGCACTACCATCTGACAGTCGATCACGTTCCCTTCTTTGAAACACTTGCTTCACTTGGGTTTTAGAACACTATACTCTTCTGGTTTTCATCCTACCTTAAAGACAGCTCTTCTGGCTCTCTATTTCTGGTTCCTTCTATTCTCCTTTATCTCTTAAGGAATGGAGGATCCTAAGGCTCAGTCCTCAGACCTCTGTTCTTTGTGTAAGCCCACTCATCCAGTCTAATGGCTCAGTACTATTATACACTGATGACTCCCAAATTCATATATATCCTGGGACCTCTGCCTTTAAGTCCAGGCTAGTATCCACTAGCCTGGACTTAAAGGCAGAGGGGGAAGTTGGGAAGATGATAATGAAAGCAGTGTGAGCAGCTGGAAACCTTCTACAAGAATCCAAGGCCTAGACTAGGGCATAGGTAATAAGGATTTTTAAAAAAGGAGGTGGGAGACAGGTATATTGGCTAGCTAAACAAGAGAGTAATAGAGAACCTGAGAAACAAAGAAGTTTGGATTAATTTAACAGTCTCTAAACCTGGGCAATTAGGCAGGTAGTGAGACAAGGAATGTAAAAAGAGCAAAAAGGTGTGAGGGAAAAAGTTGAACTTTTATTTAATGAATATCAGAACATTTTAGGTAGCTTTGTTCTATAGGTGGTTGGAAATACATAGGTGGTTGGTCAAGTCAAACTCAGAAAACAAGAGTAGAGCATAGCTAGAGATTTAGGTAATAGCTGAAACTGTAAGAACAAGAGTCACTCACCTAAGAAGAGTGTATACAGTAAGAGAGTGAGGAAAGGACTGAGTATAAGATCCTTGAAAATTAAGAATGAAACTTCCATTAAGACATTAGGAGACAACTCAGCAATGAGAACTAAGAGGCATAAAAGAGCAAGGAAAGACTAGCATCAAAAGATACAAAGTTGAGTTTCAATAATGATGAGATGTGGAACAGCAAAGTGTTTCAATGGCAGGAAGGATGGGATTGAAAAGGCTGTTGGATCTGGTATACCACGGTTCAGTGACGCTGTTGGAAAGAGCAGTTTCAGACCATGGTGCCAATAGCAACCAACCTGTACTAGTTCATGAGTGAGCAGATGGCAGGTAAGAAATAGGAGGCAGTTAATTTAGTTTGTTCTTACAAAATCTCTAGTGGTGAAAGTAAGGAGAGAGCTGGGAGCTGGTAACCTGAGGGGAAACAAAAGTCAAAGAAAAATTTTAAATGTGCTTTTTGTTTGTAGTTTTTAGTGGCTAAGAGACCCAAATTTATTTGTATGCTGACTGGATAAAGACAAAAAAGTTTTAAGAAACAAAAGAAAAGGAACAACTGATGAAACAAGGTTCTAGAACATCACAAGAACAGGAAAACAAGAACACAGAGAAACTATACTGTGTAGTAATTAAGAGGCAAGGTTAGCATGAGTCACACAAACTACACGGAGATCCCAACACTGCTACTACAAGTTATGTGACCACAGCAAGTTACTTAACCTCTTGAAGCCACAGTTTCCTGTAAAATAGTGCTAATGATGATACCTACTTTAAAAGATTGTCATGAGATTATTAGAAATAATCATATACAGCTCTTGAAGCATATTACCTGGCACATAATACTTAATTTTAACTTTTATCATCTTTAAAAAGGAACGATACCACATTTTTTCCCCCTGTACATCTAAAATAAGTGTTTAGGTGTTAGAAAGAACAAATAAAATGAATGTATGTCTGATGACCCTATTTCTTGTAAAATAAGAGATAGGTTATATGTAAAACTGAGGGTAGCAAAAGCAATGCTGAGGGCTAAGGGAAGAAAATTTCAAAGATCAAGATTTAGGTAAGAATTAGTTCCAAGTGAAGGTGAGGTCTGATAAAGAGAATAAACAAATAGAAAATGCTGAACTGGTGTTGAAGGGGTTGCTGTGTAAGTAGAACCCGAGGAATGGTAAGTCTCGGGTTTTGGAAGGGTCATTAATACGGATGCCAAAATTATTCTTTTTTAACTATTATTTGATTACAAGGTTTCTTGATTTTAATAAATCACTTGACAAAGTTAATCACAATATATTTATAAATGACCTGGAGATGTGTATGGTAATTTAATTCATTTGCTAAATAATCATACCAAAAGTGAAGAATAAAAAGACTAAAAAATGAATACTAAGTTCAAGGAAGATTTCTAGTTGTAGGGCTACAAACTCTGTTCTTCCCTTGTCCTAATCAAATTATTGTAAATGATTTCCTTCATCAGGGGATGCAAGAGCAAATGGCTAAACAACAAATGTAAATGTGTGAAGCCAAAAGGTATAATGCAGTAAGAGGCAGTGGTTGGTAAATCAGATAGTACAAGACTTAACTAAAAGCATTCTAATTAAAAAAAAAAAAAATTAACAATGTGCTTGCAAAATAAAACACATCAGAGGATAAATCTGGCAGTCAATTTACAGTTTTCTGACTTTAACACAACCACCTAACATTGCCACAAACCTAGGAAGAATGGCTTAAAATGGAAGACTAAATATGAATTTAAAGGACTCTAGTAGTCTAGAATGCTAAGCCAAACCCACAAAATAAAACTTAACAAAGATAAATATAAAACCCTATGATTAAAATCAAAGTATCAATTTATTATGTAGAATGACAGATTAAGACTTAGTAATTCATCTGGAAAATAAATGATAGGTATAACTGAACAGAGCTCAAAAGTAATCAACATTGAGATGCAGCTAATGAAAAAATTTGATGCAATATTAGTTTACAGTAGAAGTATTGTGTTCAGATCAACAAAGATAATTCCACTCTACTTTGTACAGTTCAGGCTTC